GACAGCAACTGTCTAGAGTAACGCTGACGTGTCTTAGAACCTTTATATTTCGGTGTATTCATCAATACATGCACGATTCGAATTTTGATTACTCGTTTCGATTTCTGCTGCAATTTCTCGCAAATATCAGACTTTCTCGCGGTAATAAATTTTACTACACAGCATTAATGCACAGAATCGGATGCCCTTCTGAATCTGAATCTGTTTGAAGTAGGTCACTTATTTAGCTGTAAGCAGCTCTAAGCAGAGAGGAGATTTGTAGGCAGAAGAGGAGGGGGGAAGGGAAGGGAAGGGAAGGATGCGTATTCACGCGGTGATCTGAGTGGAGAGAGGGATCACAGAGCGGCGTCAAGGCACAGGGAGAGGGGGGTTAACACCAGGGAAGGATCAGAGAGCAGCAGTATGATGGCAGAGGAAGAGCGGAAGGAGGGTTAACACGAGGGAAGGATCAGAGAGCAGCAATAAGGTGGCAGAGGAAGAGCGGAAGGAGGGTTAACACCAGGGAAGGATCAGAGAGCAGCAGTAAGATGGCAGAGAAGAAACAGAAGGAGGGTTAACATGAGGGAAGGATCAGAGAGCAGCAGTATGGTGGTAGAGGAAGAGCGGAAGGAGGATCAACGCAAGGGAAGGATCAGAGAGCAGCATTAGGTGGCAGAGGAAGAGCGGAAGGAGGGTTAACACCAGGGAAGGATCAGAGAGCAGCATTAGGTGGTAGAGGAAGAGCGGAAGGAGGGTCAACACAAGGGAAGGATCAGAGAGCAGCAGTAAGATGGCAGAGAAGGAGCGGAAGAAGGGTCAACACGAACGTGCAAACACTCACAGATGTTCTCCGGCCGTATCGTCTTGATTATGCGGAACACGTAGTCGGTCGCCTCCTCCTCGCCCTCGCCCTCCTCCCCCTCCCGCCGCTCCTGCTCCTCCTCCTCCTCCTCCTCCCCCTCCCCCGGTGTCTCATCCTGCGAGTACTCCTCCCTCGCCTCCTCCGACGACTTCCTGTCCAGCTTGGCCGTAGTCTTGCGCTTCAGCTTCGGGAAAACTTTCCCTGCGAGAGCGAGAGATAGAGAGACGTCACGCATCACGGCAAAGGAAGGTCGATGTTTGAGCGTTGAGCTCAGGCTTTCCCCATCATGGAGATCAATGCGTCAATCTTTTGCGTTACTAGTCCTAGTTATTTGAGAGTGAAAGCGTCACGTTAAACGCAAGCAGGGTAAGTTCGGAAGTAGGAGTTTTGTTTTTGTTAACAACCTTTAGTTTGGAAGGGCTAGACCTTTGGTAGTAGGTGCTACTTCAAGTAATAGTATCGAGCTTAGCTCTAGTCCTAGGATGAGTCGGTGACAT